CAGCGTGGGGACGGACCCGAGATCTTCTACCCCCACCAATATTGGGGGCGGGTTGATGCCTGGCGGTGTGTGACTGTGTCCTCATGGGGGGAATGTATTCGTCCTGGGAGAAAACTTGACTGGACGGCTCCCCATGTGGAACACCCTAGCCCCCAACAATCAGAGAAGAGTATGCATAGTTGTACGACTATTGGAAGTCGAGTTGCGCTTCTGGAGGGTATTGGCAGGGCTGCATATCGGATAATCCCCCATAAATCCCGTACAGTGCAGAAGTCTGTAATTAAAATTCATTATAATTAGTATGAAACAACAAAATAATAATAATAATAATAATAATAGTAATAATAATAATAATAACAATAACAATAATAATCATAATAAACACAAATAATGAACACTAACCTGACAGCCTAACCGCTCGGCAAGTGGCTGATACTCGCCCGCCTGTTGGAACGACGGGTAATTGGCAGGGTTATTCATCAATCTACGAGTCCTGCGGTGAAACCATTCGAGGTAACCCTGCTTCGGCTGCAGATAATCGTCCACAGGGGCAATTGGGAGGAGACGATTGGCTCTATCATCGATCCATGAGCTCAGAATAAGTGAATGGAATGCGGCCCAATCATAAAATGCTCTCTCAGACATCCCCTGCCCTCTGTGGTGTGCGTCCCACTCTCGCTCATCCCGAATGATCGGATCTTGGGGGATGGATTGGCGACACCCAAATTGCCGGAGGACCCTATCAGGTAGGTGTACCTCCCGGGTGCACCAACTGAAGATAGCAGAAATTCAGAAAGTTGTCAATAAAGATTTTGCTAGTTGGTTTTCGAGGAGATTAAGTGTTACACTTTATAAAAAAATGTTACATACAAATTTAAATGTTACTAATGTCAGTTAGTTGTTGCATTTCAGATGACGAACACTGGTCACTTGGAGGAAGTGTCTGATGATATTAAGTTTTTAGCAAGTGTGCCACTTGGTCATGCTAGAAGATATTCTTCGTATAACATTAATGGTTTGAGGTTTCGAACGATGAACCGAGAAGAAGGGTCAAAGACACAAAATAGTGGAGTGTTGTTTGCTGGAACTCCAAGTGTTGCAAGTAGCCGTGATGTTCATGGAGTAGTTGGAGATGTTGTTTATTATGTAAAATTGATCGACATTGTTGAGCTTAACTACTATGGGAGATTTTTTGTTACACTATTCAAGTGTATATGGGCTAACACAACTACTTCTAGAGGGATAAGAAAATACTGTTTTGGATTCACCGAGGTTAACTTTTCCAACAGAATACATATAGGAGAGAGAATTGATGACGAACCATATGTCTTACCTGTCCAAGCTCAGATGGTGTTTTATGTTACCAACGAGTTGGATAAAGACTGGAGTGTTGCAATACCTTGTAAACCAAGGGATTTTTTTTATATGGGGGATAAAATGAATGAGGAAGCATCTCATATAGTTGAGAATGAAGACGGTGTAAATAATATTGACATGATAGTTGTGTTCATTACATATTTATTCTGATTCATTTTTTACTTATGTCAGTTTATCCTTACATTTATGCACTTATTATTTTATTCTCATTCATTTATATGATAAATTGTCCAATTTCTATGCTGACAATGCTTCTTATTCTTTTGTTGTAGAATCGTGAATGACCACTAGCTGAATTCATTGTTGCCAGGAGATTCTGATTATTTAAATCATAAAGGTGAGTAAAACCTATTTACGACATTTAGGACATTGATTTTGTGTAGCATTTAGTATTTTCAATATGGGTATTTGCTCTTGTACATATTATGTGTTGTTCATATTCAGATAAACAAGCCTTCCAAGAACTTTCATGAGTGGAGCATCACTGAAGTATCCTTGAAACTTTTCGGCCTCAAGAGTGGCACTCATAACAACTAGTTTAAGGTCAGGTATGTTTCTCAAGATTTTCTTCAGTAGCCCAAATAGAATATATGTAGCCAAAGTTCTCTCTCTTCTTCTCTTTTCAAGGGTTTTTTAAGACTTATTTAATTGTGCAAGTCTTGTTGTATCTATTGAATGTGGGTTGCCATATGCTTCGGTCATGTTGTTTATTGAATGTGGGTTGCCATATGCTTCGGTCATGCTGGCAGCTTTTGTGGCCATAGAAATTGCAATCTTTACAGGAAAAGAACAAAAGGATAAGAAAAAGACAAATCAACCCATTATATGCAATAAACACTGAAAAAATGACATACGCTTTTAGCTCTTTTGATTTTCTCCAGCTCATTCGGGATCCTTTGCTCTGCTTCAAGTGAATCTACTTCATCTTGATTTTCAGTGCACTGGTTGGTATCTAGCTTTCTCTTCAGTCCTCTCTTATCTGCCTCATTATCATCTTCCTCTTTTGTTTCATCTTTATTCTCTTCCTTTGAACTGCCTTCTTCAGTTCTCGCATTCTCGAGGGTGGCGTGAAGAATTTCGATCAATGTGGGAGGTTTAGCGAGATCTCGAGCTCCCTGTGATAAACAAACAACAGGTTATAAGAACTCATACAAATGCATATAAGGGGAAAACTCATACAATGCATATGGGTTTCTGATATAGTTCGCCAAAAACAAAAACTCAATAAAATATAAGATGAAGAAGCTTTGAGGAAAGTTATAATAAGGCATACTTTAGATAGTTCTTGAACTGCTGCAATCCTCAAAATGGATACTGTAACCTACTTCCTTGCCTATTGCAACATCCATTTCTTCAGCAACTCTTCTCGAGAAAGACATAGCAGCCACCCTACGAGGCTGAGTGCATAAAACCATAAACTTCTTGCGCTTATCGGGACTCTCTATCTCAATTGTATCAAGAACAAACTGGGGAATCTGTAGTATTTTCCTTTCTTGTTTTAGATTTTGAAATTACTGAAAGTACAGTAGTAAAATTACTAAGCTTTTGACATTCTTTTAGGGTAAATTGCGCCAAATCCCCCTGTATTATACGAAATCTGCGCGTTATCCCCCTGTATTTTAAAAATTGCGCCATACCCCCTTGTATTATTATACTAACCGATGCACACGCTCCCTTGTTTCATTTTTTCCGTTAACGGCGTTAATTTTTTCGTAAAATTCCCGTTATACCTTTCGAATATAATATATATATATATACATGATATATTCAATTTCTCACGATATATTCAATTTATCACGATATATTGAATATATCGCGAGAAATTGGCTAAAAAATTATGCTGAGCGAGGGTTTCGAACCATGTACCTCATCAAAGAAAAGGAGCATTGCCACCACCCCACCAAGCTAAGACAACTGTTAGATTTAAGAATGTTTGATATATATAGCCATAACATGTGTATAAATCAAATTAAAAATTTTAAAGATAATGTAACTTATATTAAATAAATTAATAAACTCTAAACTTATAATAAATTAAAATATAACAAACTAGATTATTTAAATAAAAAAAAATAAGATTACGAAAATAACTTATATATATTATACTTATAGTTAAAACAATAATATGTATTTAATTTAAGTTCTTCTACTTTTATTTTTTATTATTTTACATTTTACTATTTAATATTATTTTAATTTAGTTGACAAATTTTATTTATGTGTTAACTTAATAAATGATATAAAATTCAAATAAATTTATTTGAATACTGTATGTCATTAATACTACTTACTAAAAAGTGATAATGCAAAAAAGTGATAATTTATTTCTAATTAAAACTACTTACTAAAAAGTGATAATTTATTTCATTTTTTTCATTAACACTGTATGTCAAAGTAAATAATGCAAAAATTATTTGATAAATACTGTTTTTAATTATATTATATTAATTTAATATTATTACTTATTTTCATTAATTATTTTATAATATTAAATTTTCTTAATTATTTTATTTGTTTTAATTTACCATTTTTTAGATATTATATTTTTTTTTTTATTTTATATCTAATTTTTTATGATATTGCTTGTCTACTCTAAATTTATTTATTTATTAATTTATTATTGTTATTATTATACATTTTTGAATTTATATAATTAACTTTATTTTTATAAACAAAAATTATAAATTTATTTAATTTTAATTCATGCTACTGTAAGTAATTTCATTTTACTTTACTTTAATTTATTTTTCATTATTTTTATTTTAATTTAATTTATTTCAATTTATTATTATTATTTCATATATATTAAATTTACCCATTATATTTTTTTGATTTATTTACTCTAAAATAATTTATTTTAATTTATTATCATTATTATATTATTATAATACATTTACAAATTTATATAATAAATTTTATTTTAGTTTAATGTATTGCAAGCTATTATTATTATTATTATTATTATTATTATTATTATTATTATTATTATTATTACTATTATTTAATGTATATCAAATTAACTTGTTATGTTTTTATTTTATTTTAGTTTATTAATTTGTTTGAAGTATTATAAAAGGATTTGTGTTCAATTCCTACACAAGGATGTATCTAGCTTAGTGGTTTAATGTGTGGGCTTTTGTCACAAGGGTCATGGGTTCGAATCCTCCCCTTGTTTAAATTTTAATTTTCTCAATAAAATTCAGGTATTAAGGGACAAAATAGTCATTTCCCTGAGTTTATGGCGAAAAAATAGAGAAAAAGTCGCACCACACGCGCGTGAAATGCACATCCGTCAAGTTAGACGGTTTAGGGGATAACGCGCAATCAAAAGTATAATACAAGGGGGTATGGCGCAATTTTTAAAATACAGGGGGATAACGCGCAGATTTCGTATTATACAGGGGGGTTTGGCGCAATTTACCCCATTCTTTTATATCTCAGTCCTCTGACTGTTGTAATAGTTCCATGTGACGCCGTCTTTCTATGTTATTATATACCAATACTCAGCAAATGGTGTTTTCTTTGTTATTAGATACTAATACTTTGAATTTATACAGTAGAATTTTTTTTGCTCCTTGTTTGTTGCAGACATGCCGAGGTCTAAAAGAAATTTGAATAAGAGAATGTTAGGATCAGAACAATTTCAGGCATCTTCCAACACTCATACTAAAGATCAGAATGAAGTGCCTGATGAAAGTGTACATAATGAGCAACAAGTTAATGAAGTTAATGAATCTGTTGAGGAAACGTCCAGTGAAAACTATGAAAATTCAATTCAGGACCAATCTTCGTCAACTAGGAAAAAAGGAAGAACTGCATGGGAAGTTGAAGTGATAAGTATGAACTGTTTTATTATATCACATTCCTTTGATAAAAGTACATTTAAAAATATTAATATTTGTTAAATTTCCTCAGGTGAAGAAGGAGTTGTGAAGAGAAAAAAGATGAAAACAATTGATGTATGGAGTCTTCCTTCTGGTGAGCGATTCATGGTTCCATTTGATAGTATGCAAGCACCCACCTTGGATGCGGCTGGATTGTTGTCTGGTGTGCTATCAGAATTAGCAAGGCAGACTTCTTCATTTCCGATCAACTATGATGACTGGAGAAAAGTGCCAAGCCAATATAAAAATGATATATTCAGCAAGTCAATCATGGTAAATATAACATTAATTATGAACACAGTTCGAATACAAGAAACCAATGGGATATCTTGCACATGAGCATGTTTATTCTGCCTTGAAATATATTTTATAAAAATGTTAAGTTTTCAATATGAGTAATATCATGTTTTCCGTCTTATCTTGTAGCCACAATTTCACTTTGAAAATGTCGAGATAGCAAAATGGTGGATTCTTAGCAATATCGGGAGAAAGTGGAGTAATCACAAGTCCACATTATGGGTAGAATTTTATGACCCTTCTTTGGCAAGGTTGAAGTTATTTCATTACAACATCTTTTTCATTAGCATATGAGTTTAAGAAAAAATGCAGTCTAAATCTCTAAGAACTAAGAACTTATGTTTTTTTGTCCTTCATTGACCAGAGAACAACTAATAAGCAACTGTCCCGCTGGAATCCATCGAGATCAATGGTCAACTTTTGTTATCAATCGTCTATCGGAAAAGTCAAAGGTAATGCATTTAAATTTACTTTTTATGTATGCGACATCATCTAATAGTTTTTTTTAGTGTATTATTAGGAGATGTGTCGGAGAAATGCTGAAAGTAGAAAGTGTCAAAAAATTCCACATACTAATGGATCTAAAAGTTTTGCTAGGAGGAGAGCTGAAATGGTATTGTGATTATTTTCTTTTAGTTTGTTAACTATTGTCATGTATTATGTACACGCAATTTATTACATGTAAATTAATTACCATTTCAGGAAAATGAACTTGGGCGTAAGGTCAATCGCTCAAAATTATGGCTTGATACACACAAAAGACAAGACGGGACATATGTTAACGATGAAGCTAAAAATTAATCAGCGAGTTAATAAATTATTCTCTTCCTTTTCCTATAATGTGGGATTTTGATTCATTCTATTGTGATTATGATATTGTGATTATTATAATATTCATGTAATATGCAAGGTTTTTGCTCTTACGCTCACCAAATTGTATTTGGAAAATGCATTCAAGTGGTTTTTGAAATATGCTTATGTAAATGATTCTATCACATTATTGTTACATACTCCGACTCTATCTGATTTATGAAACCAGACATGTTCTGTGGTCAATTCCAATAAATATAAAGAACATAAACAGAGCCAAATATCATTACTACCTTAAGACAACTACGTCAAATATAATTGCATTCACTTCTATTATCTATGCAGTCATGTCATTGTTCACCTAGTCTGGATTTCTACTTTCAACAAAACATTAGCTTTTAGGATACAAAGACATTGATGTTACACCAAGCTTGCTTTTAGGGGTACTGTGAGTTTTGTGCGAGTTTTGTGGTTTCTGGTAAAAAAGGGATTACAAATAATGATATTTTTTTTATGTCCCTCCTCATAGGATGAAATTATACGGGAAATGAGTCGAAGTTCATATTCTTCAGAGTCTAGGTTTGCTTTACCTGATGACTCTCCTGATCGGGTCTTTGGAAAGGAGCATGCAGGTCGTGTTCGTGGGGCAGGTTTCGTACCATGTCCGACTATTGCATTCGGATGTCGATTTGGATCATCGTCTAATGATGGTCAAATGAAAGAATATGTTTCTAGTATGGAAAAGGAGTTGGCTGCTACAAAATCAATATTGCGAGCTCAAAGTCTTCAGTTACACGCTCAAAATGTACAAATGGAAGAGATGAAAAAAAATCTAGATGGGGCTCTTGCTACAATTTTCGAGAATGCATTGGGGAAAGTACCCGAACAATTTGCTAGTTGGCTAACCCAAACATCAAAAATTGTGAGTAATTCTTACTAAAGGGTGTTAGCTTATTACTAGTGTTTTTTTTAATAAAGTTGTCAAAATATTTAGAGCTATAATATTTGTTTTAAGTTATGAGACATAACTAATTACATTTTTATTTCAAATGTAGGGACCTTCGGATGAAAGAAGCACTCATCCACCTTCATCAGAGAATGAAAGAGATTCATCCTCTAGTCATGATGTAATTTAGGGTTTTACTCGTCTCATTTTGTAACTGGTGCTTTTGGGTTAATATACTTTTGTTTGTGAATTTTATTAACTATAGTGATCAACTTCTACAATTGAACAAAATTTGTGTTGGATTTTCATGTAGATTGTTCTGCATGTTTGATGATATTATTGGTTAAGTAAATCATGATATTTTGACGTCAAGTGAGTTACAATAATTTTATATTTATTATAAATTGGATGATGGATTAGGCAGGAATAATTAAGAATGCTACAGATATTGTAATTTAAATAGTGACAAATGTTAGTGGCGGTTTCCAAAATTGCCACAAATATATATATATATATATATATATATATATATATATATTGCGGCTGTTAAAAACTGCCTCTACATTTAAAATTAGATGTGGGTATGAACTGCCACTAATTAATGTTGCAAAAACACATTCATTGTTGTATAAATATATAGCTTCACTTTTTCCAGCGGTTTTATGAAACTGCTACTAAATTACTTGCGACATTTGTATAGGCGGCAGTTTAATAAATGTTGGTAAGTGCACTGGTGGCAGTTAGAAACTGCCGCTAAATATAAAAAAAACTGCCGCTAAAATTTATATTTTTTGTATATATAACATATGTTAAATAATATAACATATGTTATATTATATAACATATGTTAAATAATATAACATATGTTATATTATATAACATATGTTATAACATTATAACATATGTTATAATATATTACTATATTATATTATATTACTATGTTATATTAAAACATATGTTATAAAATATAACATATGTTAAATAATATAACATATGTTATATTATATAACATATGTTATAACATATAATAACATATGTTGTAATATAATATAACATATGTTATATTATATTATATGTATATAATAAACATATAGTATATAATATATTGCAATTTATAATATATGTATATGTATATATTTTGCGCAGAAATAAACGCAAGGTGTTTGGCGGCACAATGGTACGAGGTGCGCCCAGAGAAACCGGACTCACCACAGACCCGAGTTTGAGTCCCCAATCTGGGATCCTCGTATCTTTTTTTTTTTAGAAACCGTATTTTAGTAATACGGTTTACAATTAATTCATTATATAAACCGTATTCTCTGAATACGGTTTCCTGGGACATAGAAAAAAATCCTAGAACAGAGAGCAAACAAAAAAAACAGAGAGGTTTTTATCTGTTACACCAAAATTGTTACAACCTGTTACAAAATTTCAGAACAACCAGCTAAAAAAAAACACAAATAAACCAACTCATATACAGTCTAAGATAACAATAATATATAATCCAAACATAGTCCAACAAATCAAAGTAAACAATCAAAAAAATAGTCCCGCATAAAAAAAAAATACACACTAAAAAATCTAGTTTCCTCACTCATCAGGGCGTCTAGATCTATCAATGCGAGGATGTGAGGACGGACAGTCATCCACAAAATGCTCTGTATCACCACATCTACTACACTGTCCTCTATCATTCCGGCGGCGTGCCCGACGATCCATTTGCATGCGATGACGCCTCGTTTGCGCGCGACCGGGTCCAGCCTTCGTGATCATCCTCTCCCAATGTGGTAGTAAGGTCCATCCGACCAGCGGCCATGTGTCTGGATCACCAATCGGAACAAAACTCCAATTAAAAAATTGAGCTACCCAGTTCTCCGTCCAAAATCAGGGATCGTACAATAACTTCGGTGGAGTATTAAGTTGCCGACACACAACTATAGCATGAGAGCATGGTTTCCTATGTGTCTGCCACTTCAGACAACGACAACGCCTCTCGTCGTACCAAACCTTACACATGTTTTTCCACACATTTAATTATATTTATAAACAACTAAAAATTTTAATGAACCAAAATAAAAAAAATAAAAATTATACAATAAATAAATAAACCACATATGTTTTGTCCCCTCTACCACTCGCCCGTAGGCCCGTTGTCACCTCGTACAGATATATCGCTGCGTTCGCACATCTCACCTTATGATTTGCGGTCGTACTCTCCAATTCGCAAAAAGCGGCATAGTGGGCACTAGCAATGACACTACTGCATCTCGTGGACTTCTTTTGTTCCTGTTCAAACAAGTCCAGAGTTTTCATGAATGTGGCGCATACCAAAGCTCGGCAGGGCAAGAACCTAACACCTTTTAGAACGTTGTTGTAACTCTCGGACATATTGGTCGTCAATGTACCCCATCTACGTCCTCCCTCGTCTCCAAGCAGGGTCCACTTGTTTAGAGGAATTCCAAACAGGTAATTGTATGCATCCGGATTAAAATCCGAAAGCCGGTCTCGTATCTGTTGAAATTTTCGCTCTGAAAGCTGTGAACCCAACTTCTAACACCAATTTCAGATTTTGCTATTCCTGTACTTAGTAACCACGTTGCTCCGAAGGTGTCGAAGACAAATCCAGTGATATGCAGCGGGTTCTTGCCAAGCCGCCAATGAATCCACAGCACTCTGTAAGCCAACATCCCTGTCCGAAAGAAATCATATCTGTCTGTAGCCGACAACATGTTGCTGGAGATTTGTCAGGAAAAATGACCAGCTTTCCCTGCTCTCTTCATCCACAATCGCATACGCGATTGGCAATAACCGCTTATTCGCAGTCTGTGCAACGGCCACAAGCAATTTCCCCTTGTACGAGCCACGTAAATGCGTGCCGTCCATGCTAATTACCGGCGGGCATCTCTGGAAGGTCTGAATGGCGGGACCAAAAGCCCAGAAAACAAATTTGAATTCTCTGTGCTCATAGTGGGTCGTCATTTCCCCACCCTGCCATTCCCACTGTACAACTGTAGTGGGATTCGCTCTTTGAAGCGCCGCAAAAAATCTGCACATTATAAAACGTAATCGTTAATACATAAACATAGTGAGATAAATAATACGTACACTTTTAATAAATATTTTCTTACTGGGGGAGTTGTGCGAAGTTCTCTTCCCAAGTGTCATACAAACTGTCGATCGCTTTTTTCCTCCCGTGCCACGCCTTCTTATAGCTCACATCGACTTTCCAACATTTTTTGACATCCTCCTGGATCAGGGTAACACTGTACTCGGGTTTCTTTTGGATCTTGGTCATGATAATATTGGAAATCATTGTGGCGGTTACATTTCTGTGGTCATTTTTGTCGGCTTCTTGCATACAACTATGCCTCTCGGTCCATTCCGTTACTTCCCACAGATCATGAACCCGTGTGCAGTGCGTCATCCGAGCCTTCCAGGAACAAGGTTGAGCTTCGGCGGAATTTCACACCACCTTGAATGATTTCTTATTCGAATCTTTTGTCCTAACCTCCCTCAATCTACTAACGTTCTAATTCATTATATCAAACTGTGCTTCTTCCTTGGACCGGAAAACAGTACCCAAACGAATAGTCTCGACATTTCCATTCCAACGAGGGAGAGCATACTCATCCCGGTCTACACACGAGGGGTCCCACGCACCCATCTCGCGATACACGTGCTGACCGGTACTAGGAAATGGGTGCTCTTCAATAAACTCTGGTTCACTCTCCTCGTTTATTAATCTATCCGATTCTGTTTCCGATGTATCATCTGTCAAATCGTCTTAATCAAGAATGAAATCATCATCGGGTTCTTCTCTAACTGTTGAGCTTGTCCCTTCGCCAAAATTACGAACATGCGAAGTGGACGTACCCTCAAAATCAGGCACTCCCCCGTAAAAATGGGAAACATCCTCAAACTGTGTAATCACTGTAGGTGCCTGCGTAACCTGCTTCAACTCTAAATGCAAATACACATAGGAGAAAGCAGGAAAATAATATATCCACTGTAAAGCACTATCAATATTCAAGTTTCCAATGTTCCATGAACCATCGGGTTGGTTAGTAAGTAAACTAATCCCCTCAATCATCCAACCATCTCGACGGAACCCAAAATTTTCATAAAGTATATCTTTAAGTTGTTGAAATGATATCTTCTCCCCAATGCTAAATGAACCATCCAGACGGTTTATAAAATCTGAAAATGAATCTAAAACCTCTTTGGGATGATTCCAATACACGTTAACAAAATATGGTCCGGTAGGCTCCATTTATACCTGTTAAAATAAAATCACGAATTCTTTTAACAAACCCTAATACTCATTATCCATCAATAACATATAATACACTTTCAACCAAAAAAACCAAAAAAAAAAAAAAGTATTCCAATCAATTAATCATTCAAAACCCTAATACCTTATCGAACAATAACATAAAAAACATCTATAATTCCGATAAATTGAAACCCTAATTTCGAAAAACCCTAACCCCAACAACAACCAAACAATTACACAATTGACAATTTACACACAATATTTCAATCTTCAATTCAACATACACACATAATCGTTAATCAATTATCAATTTCAATCTTCAAGCACCAACACATTCAAACATATTATAACAATTCTCAATCTCCAAATAACTCCAAACAAATATAAAAAGTTAAGATAAACCAATATACCTCGTGCGGATGAATTAACCGGAAATAAGACTCGTGTCGCTGTTGTCGGTTCACGTCGGGGTGAAGATTGGATCGAGTTTTTTTTTTCTCAAGTATTTTCGCTCTGTTCTTTGCTCTCTCTCGCTCTATGTTGCTGCTGCTCGCATAAAATGAATGGAGAAGAAGATCTTTTTTAATATATTTTAAATAAAACGTATTTAAGGAATACGTTTTTTGTGCATTTAATTATAAAACGTGTTCCTTAAATACGTTTTATTTAAATGTAGTTTTAAAAAAAATAATTTTTTTAAGACGTATTTGAGTAATACGTATTACTCAAATACGTTCTTTATTTTTTTATTTTTATTTAACGAAAAGAATTTTTAAAATTGTTTTTGATTTTTTTAAAATTAAAACAGTTAAATATAAACGTATTCGAGGAATACGTTTTATTAAATAATTTTTTTTAAGAAAACGTATTCAAGGAATACAGCCATTTTATGTTTGTCCACTCCTTTTTTTTTGTCCACTTATTTTGTTGCTTTTTTTTTAAAAAAAATAAATTACTCCACATTCAACACAACACAAATTTAAAACGAGAATTGAAACCCCTAGACGTAGGTGGAAGAATTACCTCATGTTCCAAATTCAAATTCACGTTAATCCAATGCAAGAAACACCACATCAATTAACAATAATAAGTTGAAGATAAAACTTACAATCAATTCATGAATTGCAAGATTTCAATCCCAATATATTCGGCCCCATCAGTTCAAATACGAATGAAAATGAAAATCGGAAGAGGTCTTACAAAATATATTTAAAAGAGTATTTTTTTAGTGTCTGGAAGCCTTTGAATCGGCCCCCATAGATATCTTTTCAAAACGAGGTCAAAAACTCGTATGAATACATTTTCGTAATGGTCCGATCGCTGGCATGAGGCATGCAAGACGACCGCGGACGTGGGCGCGAGTAGCGCGACTCACCTCTCGTCGAAAGGCATGACTGCTATGTTGGACGTGAACCCTGCTCGCTTGCAAGGCCCGCCTCGTCGGCGCGAGTCCTGGGTGACGGGCATGCGCCACGATCGTGGGGGCACGCATGCGCGCGAGTGCGAGGTCAGCGCGAGGTCCCGCGCGATTTTCTTGGCGATGCTATGAGCGGCAGGCGCGCTGTGCGCGCGGGCTGGGCCACGGTTCTGGACACTGGCTGCACTCGGTGCTGGGCCGCGGGCCCATCAAGCACTACTGGGTCGACCAACATGAAACTTTTCGGCGAGTTTTGCGACAATTTTTCGGCTATATTAAGTATTATTGGAGCCATTTTCTGACAAACAAGAAATATAAAATTAATTGTAAAATACACAAAATACACAAATAACACGAAAACAATAAACAAGCAAAATAAACTTAATGGGCCAGAAAATTTTGTAAACGAGTTCAAATGAACTTAATAGAAGACCATAAAACCATACAAAGATAATAATAATAACAATAACATACACAACATCCACCCAACCATGTCATGGTCCCGGGTACATCGCGTCCCGAGCTAGTCCGGGTTTCAAAACAATGCCACGGCTAGTTAATTGCAACAATTTTCATACTTTCTTCACAAAAGAATGTCCATTTAAAAAGATATATTATCTTATATTATTGATTGGAATAGTTTTCAATTCCCATATCATTTTATTCTTAGCCTTTTTTTTTCTTTTTTTTTTTTGGAAATCTTTTTCACATATAACCAAAATAAGAGTTTGTTGTAAAGTGATCAAATTATTTTCTCCCATAAAATATAGAAAAAAGAGAGCTTGTAAGGAAAAAGTAAAGTGTTTGCTTACAGAGTTACACAGTAACACTCCTTTACAGAGCTGCAATTTTTTGTCATTTTATGATAGAAAACGCTGAAAATTGGTCACATGTTTGGTGAAAGTAGCGAGTGATCATCATCACCTGAAAAAAAAAAAAAAAAAAAAGACTATGGATATATGCATTGGGATTCTTCAATAAGTGTTGGGATTAAGAATTTTGGTATATTGAAATTGAACTTTTTAAAATATTTTAATGATTCTATTTATTTGTAATTTTAAAAAGTCTTAACAATTTTTGAGTTATTTAATTTATTATTGGGATTTGCAAGACTTGATACGATTTGTTGAGAAATCCCACTGTTCCCACTGTTGGATTTTGAACCCAAGCGTGCGCGCAGAGGAATTTTAATTTTTTCTTACCAACAACGAAGATTCGACTATAACTATTCGATATGATCCTATATCGCGTGAATGATTAACGAAATTACCGTTGTTCGTCTATGTCCTCGACTATGGTATCCATGCAATCCAGTTTCCTGATGCGCGATCCAATGCCAATGAATCCTCTCCGGTAAAGAAGTTAGGAATCATCGATCCGGAAAGCTAGAGAGTGTTTTGATCTTGATCTCTCAATCTCTAAGATTTTGGATTCTTCAAAGTGTTTCTCTCATCGATGATTATGAAGAGATAATGAAGATATTTATAATTAGGTCAAAACCCAGTTATATGGGCCTTAGGAAATCCTATAGCTCAATAAGTAATTGGACATAATTCAATTAGTAATTTAATTAAGTATAAGATTTCCAAAAATTTCTTTTAAAATTGAAGACGTTTCAAAAGTAAAAGAGTCTTACAAAATTTGAAATGAATATTTCTCATTCTTAATTTATTCGGGATAATATCTCATTCTTAGTTGTAAATATATTTTGGTATCTTCTGTATCTTGTATTTTAGGTAGTTTAGATCAGTAGAGATCTTTTCTTGGCTAACAAGAAAGGTTATTCTTTGTATTTATATCTCTTGTACATCTTCAGTTTTAATCCAAGGTAATTAAACCATTATCTTCCTTATGGTATCAGAGAGAAAACCTATACAGCCGATATAATTTTTTTTTTTCTCGTCCACTGCCATGGCCAAGAAATCTAAGATGCCGGCAATCGGCTCTCCTTTATACATGTACCCGTCCGATAGCACGGGAACTCCGTTAACGCAAATAATTCTCACCGGTGAGAATTACTCGACATGGGCCAAAGTCGTGAGACGTGCACTGGAGGCGAAGAACAAGGCGGGATTCGTAGATGGGTCGGTCCAGAAACCGGACAACCAACATCCTGACTACCATTGGTGGAAGATGGGCAATAGCTTAGTTGCTTAATGGATCCTCAATTCTCTGGACAAAACACTACAAAACAGCGTTGTCCATGCGGCTGATGCTCGAGCCATGTGGGATGAGTTAAAGGAGCGGTTCTCGCAAGGTAATGTTCCTCGCATCCACCAATTGAAGGCAGAAATTAACTTACTCCGTCAAGACGGTCAAAGTGTGACCGAATATTTCACAAAATTGAAGGGCCTTTGGGACAAGCTCGCCGACTACACTGACACAGTCACTTGCACATGTGCCGGGTGCACTTGTGACGTATCAAAAAGGCTCGCAGCCGAACGAGAAATAGAGATGCTGCACCAATTCCTTATGGGACTTAATACCGAGTCTTATGGTGCGATTCGTTCTCACATTCTGAGTATGGAGCGACTTCCCTCCATCAACAAGGCATATTCTCTTATGATTTAAGAAGAACGCCAACGATCCATCCAACGAGACCAGGAGACGCCCAAGGACCATGTAATCGCTCTTGCTGCTGGAGGAAAAGGAAGTGCGCCTCGCTACATTTGTGATCCTTGTGGAAAAACGGGGCACTTGAAATCCCGTTGCTATGAGTTGATTGGTTACCCAAAAAATTGGGAGCGCAACAAAGATGACTCCGGCCGAAGAAACAACAACCGCCATGGACAACGGCCCGACGGCCCAAACGGCGGCGGCAGCAACAAACCCACAGCTCCTCGCGGCCCCAGTGCAGCCCATTCCGCCCAGACCAACGGCGCTGCAGCAGGTGAAAGCACGACCAGTCTTCACACTCTCACCGACATGGAGTACCGACAACTTATCAACCTTCTGGGCTCAGTCAAAATGGCGTCTTCCCAACCTTCAGGCACACAGCCGCTCGAAGGTAATATCACGACTTTTTCTCGATCATGGATTCTTGATTCGGGAGCTTCGGAGCACATGACCGGGCACTTGGAACTCCTAACGAATTGCACGCCTACCCAAGGACCATGTCCCATCACGACAGCAAATGGAACAATCTCTCATGCAATCTTTCGTGGAACCATTTCATTTAGCCCAATTTTTAAATTACATAACGTTTTATACATACCCGCCTTCACTTGCAACTTGATCTCTATTGGAAAGATTGTGATGGATTTAAACTGTTACGTGACTTTTCGCTCGTCTCAATGTTTTTTGTAGGACCTCACCTCGAAGACGTTGATTGGAGCGGGTAAGCTACAAGGGGGGGTCTATCGCATCGAGCCGAGTGACGTGTTTGCCGCAGCCACTGTGACCAACTCTCCAGGTTCGATTCGAGTAACACCCGAGATGTGGCACCGGCGTTTAGGTCATCCCTCCCACAAGATTTTACATTTAGTTTCCCCTACTCTTGTTAATAAGGATCATGAGAATCCATGCGATGCTTGTTATCATGCAAAACATGCGCGTTCGTCTTTTCCACTTAGTGATAATCGAGCAACCTCTCCCTTTTCTCTTTTACATTGTGATATTTGGGGACCGTATCGCACAAAGTCTATTTCTGGGGCTCACTATTTCTTAACCATTGTTGATGATTGCAGTCGAGCTGTTTGGTTGGACCTTTTTAATGCGTGACAAATCAGAAACCTTTAACGTTTTGTCAAATTTTTTCACATTGGTCCATACGCATTTTGGTACCGTCATCAAATTTTTTCGGTCAGATAATGATAAAGAATTTCTATCAGGACCTTTACAAAATCTTTTTCATCAAAAAGGCATTGTTCACCAAAAATCATGTGTTTATAGTCCACAACAAAATGGGCGCGTCGAGCGTAAGCACCGCCACATCCTCAACGTGGCCCGTGCCCTTCGCTTTCAAGCAAATTTACCGATAAAAAATTGGGGCGAATGTGTTCTCACCGCAACCCATGTCATCAATCATACCCCCAACACCACTCTTATCCGGAAAATCACTTCTCGAGGTACTTCATGGTAAACCGGTCTCTTATGATCATCTTCGTGTTTTTGGGTGCCTTTCTTACGCCAAAACATTTCCTCGACCACTCGACAAATTTGCATCTAGGTCCCGTCGTTGTGTCTTCCTTGGTTATCCTTATGGCACGAAAGGATGGAAGTTTTATGATCTCGACACAATGAAGTCTTCCTTTCTCGAGATGCTATTTTTCACGAACATGATTTTCCGTACATGTCTCAAACGCCCCAACCTACACTCATCCCTCCGACCGATCCACCTAACCACACTTCTTTGTCTGACGAGCCAACCTCGTCCGACCCACCGACGCTGTTGCCACCGCAGGTTACTCGAACCGCATCTTCTGCTCCCCCCGATCACCATCCAGACACTCCAGATGAGGGCACGACCCACTCGGACGATAGCTCGGAGATGCCTCCAGACAGATTGGCAGACTCCCCACACCCGCCAGCTGCAGATTCGGCACCCATCGCCGCCACACCAGCTCCTTCCCGACGACCAGCACGCGCGCGCTGCCCACCTGCCCGATTCGAAGATTATCATTGTTACTCGGTCGTGCCGACCCCTATTGCCGCAAGCCCACTCCATCTACTTCTTCAGGTATGGGCTATCCCATTGAGCGTTTCGTCAATTATAACAGTTTTTCTTTATCTCACTTGGCCTTCCTAGCTGCACTGGATTCTGAAGTAGAACCACGATCCTACTCGGTCGCAGTCAAGGACCCTCATTGGCGTGCTGCCATGACAGATGAAATTCGTGCTCTTGAAGACAATGGCACTTGGACGATCCAGCCTCTACCTCCCGATAAGAAACCGATTGGTTGCAAATGGGTGTACCGGATCAAACGTCATTCTGATGGAAGCGTTGAATGCTTCAAGGCTCGATTGGTAGCAAAGGGCTTTACCCAAATTGAGGGTCTCGACTTCCATGAGACTTTTGCTCCCGTGGCCAAAATGACCACATTCCGTTGCCTCCTCACCATTGCCTTGGCCAGAGATTGGCACCTACATCAGATGGATGTGAATAACGCCTTCCTTCACGGTGATTTGGAGGAAGAGGTCTACATGCGTCTTCCACCTGGGTACACCTCTTTGATTCCTAATTCGGTATGTCGACTTCGCAAGTCTCTTTATGGTTTGCATCAGGCTTCCCGAAATTGGTTTGCCAAATTTGCCACTACTCTTCGCACTTATGGCTTCACACAGTCGCAGGCTGATTATTCATTATTCACTTTCCAATCGGGTGCCGATATATTAGTGGTCCTTGTTTATGTGGATGACCTCATCATTGCCGGAAATAATCCGGCCCGTTGCTCTACCTTCAAATCCTACCTTGCTAGTTGCTTCAAGATAAAGGATCTGGGCTCACTAAAATATTTTTTGGGCCTCGAGGTTGTCCACACAACAGATGGCCTGTTTCTTTCCCAACACAAATACACGCTAGAGTTTTTATCCGATTGTGGCCTCACAGCAGCGAAACCATCCACATTTCCTATGGAGCAGCGGACCCACTTGGCGGACTCCACAACCCCATTCCTCACAGATCCGGCACATTTTCGTCGTCTCATTGGTCGTCTCCTCTACTTGACCATCACTCGCCCCGAGTTATGCTATTCTGTTCACCTCCTTGCACAGTTCATGCAGCAGTCGCGGGAGAGTCATTGGGATGCCGCCACACGCATACTACGTTACTTAAAGCACAGTCCGGGCCAAGGTACTTTTCTTCGACGACCAACTTCATTAGAGTTTGTTGGTTACTGTGACTCTGACTGGGCCAGTTGTCCAGTCACGCGACGCTCCACAACCGGCTATTTCATCACCTTTGGCGGTTGTCCGGTCTCTTGGTGCACTAAGAAATAAACTACCGTTTCCCGATCATCTGCGGAGGCTGAATACCGTTCCATGGCTGTCACCGCAAGTGAACTTCTGTGGCTTCGTAGCCTACTTTCCTCACTCGGAGTCACACTTTCTGGCCCCATCCGTTTGCATTGCGACAACCAATCAGCCATCCACATATCAGCTAACCCAGTCCTCTACGAGCGAACAAAACATATAGAGATCGACTGTCACTTTGTTCGGGAACGCATTCAATCTGGAGAACTACTCATCTCATACATTCCCACTCGTTTTCAGCTAGCCGACATTTTTACCAAAGCTCTTGGACGCGATCGTTTTCACTTTCTCCTACGCAAGTTGGGCATTCGAGATCTTCATGCTCCAACTTGAGGGGGAGTATTCGGGATAATATCTCATTCTTAGTTGTAAATATATTTTGGTATCTTCAATATCTTGTATTTTAGGTAGTTTAAATCAGTAGGGATCTTTTCTTGGCTAACAAGAAAGGTTATTCTTTGTATTTATATCTCTTGTACATCTTCAGTTTTAATCCAAAGTAATTAAACCATTATCTTCCTTATAATTTTTTTTTTTTCGAAACAACAGAATTCATTCACGAAACACATAATTACAATCGGCTCAGTAGCTGGAATAGGAGGGCTCACCAAGGCAGCCTATATACCATAACACACACTACAAACAAACAAAATAAAAACTCCCCAAAGGAGAATACACAAACTCCCCACAGGAGAATACACAAACTCCACACAGGAGAATAACACAACTCCCAAGAGGAGAAAAACACACTCCTCTAAAAAAGGAGGACGCAAAACACTAGCCACGAAACAAACACACCGACAAACACCACACAAACACAAACACAAAATAAACCTACACAAAACTACCAAACATAAGCCCTCCTCTACAGCTGACAAGCAACACAGCAATTCGCCACGCCACCAACCACCCAGAGCCGTCATCCCACAGACTAAGACCCGTTTCGAAATACCGAACCTGAAACTGAAACAAAAAGCCTAACAAAGCCCGACAACCCAAAACCGCGGCCTCAAGAGGCTGACCACCCACAGCCCGGCACATCGCAGCAAGTCCAACTCTCCACCCCACTCCTGCCGATAGACGAGATCTGTCATCCCTGAAGCCACCAACCAACATCCCTGACGGAGCAATCTTCCAACCCTAGGAACGACAGAGAGCCAAGGTCTGACCCCGAACTCATTGCCATCGCCAGCAAATCCGGCCAACGGTCCCCGGATCTGAAAAACCCAACCTGCAGGAGCCCTCCCCCACCACCACGGAGACGGAAAAGCAAGGGAAGAAAATGAACTTACCTTAGCCCGGACCACCGGCTGGTACCAAGTCGCAGAGAACCCCCCCCCCCCCCCCAGTCCAACCTGCACCTCGACGGCACCACCACAGACCTAGCGGCAACTAGGGAGATGACGAAATCCACCATTGCCGTGAGGTCCTCGAAGTGCTGGCCGGCCGGAAGGAAGTACAAGCCGACGATGATGGCAGCGCGGCGGCGCTTCGCGCCCCGCTGAAGAGGAGGCACCGACAGATCTGAACTTTTGTTGTGAAGGGGACCGTTTTTTCAAGAGAGAATTTTTTAGATCTTAAAATGTTGTGTTTTCAGTAACTTTTAACTTAAATTGATTTTGAAAAAAATCTATATCAACATGGATATTAAATGGATTAAGTTTCAACAACGGATAGCATTTTTTATTATAGTATAATGATGGTGGCATTGGCATAATATTTTGTTAAATTAAGTGATGCTATTTTAATCCTAGTACGTACATTTAATTATCATCACATAAAAGTTGATAAATTAAAACGTCAGATAATTCATTGTATGATGATTGTTGGTTCAATTCCTCTACCCGAATTAGTTCTTATTACCTGACCCTACCTATATAATACAGGGAGATGCTACGGTCTCGTTATGGAACCGTTCTGTTGGGGTTTGTAACAGTTAGATCAATTATCTGTAACAATTACACGATGATCTAACGGTTACAACCCCGATTATATGTTTTTTTTTTATTTGGTTTCAAAAGTGAAATTGGAGTATTGGACACATGTGATTCGACTCGGACCGGACATAACTGGTTAAGGATCAATTTTGCTTTCTAATGAAAATAATTAATTGGTTTAAGTTAATAATTCAATGAAGATACTTGTGTTTGGTGGCTACTAGGACACAAAATAAGACACAACGTATATATTGCGAAATTTTCAAAATTGTAACAACCAGCTCGAGTTTAATTATTCACTACTCACGGAAAAAAGAAAAAAATAAATAAATAAAATATGAATATTTCTTTGAATTTAAGGAAAAGAAAAGAAAAAAAAAATTATGTTCATATTTTGTTTTGGTAGACAGCCACGGTATCTGGAGCTATGCCCCGACTAATAAGTTGGTCGATCCGAGTCGCACACTTAACAGTGGTAGGTGAGTCTCTCAACACGGGTTTTCTGTAAGGACTCGAACTCGAACCCGAGACCTTGGTTAAGGTACAACTTGAGTCAACTTCAATCGGTGATTATGTTCATACTTGTTCATACATCTGCATTACCAAATAACAAAATTGGTAGCAAGTAATAAATACTGTGCATGGAGACCTCAAAAAATTCATCCAAAAAAAAATAAAAAACATGAACAAATTGATTCGGTTAAGGTTAAGCAACTACCTACCTGAAAATCATTATTATTAGTTATTAAAAAAATAATAATAATAAAAAAAAGAAGAACTGAAGAAAAACATTTATTAATTATTAGAAAAAATAATTAGGGAGGCAAAATGGTGGTATTTACTATTTACAGGTGATGTGGGTGTGAGGCCAAAACCAAACGCTTAGAGCACAAAGTGCAGAAATATTTGGTCTTCATCCTGAAGCAGACCTGGAGATAGCAAAATTTGCCCTTTCCGACTATTTCCACGGCCTGCACTTTCCCTCCACAGCAAGGACACCTCCCGGGGGCTTGCTTTCGTGATCCGGTTTCTATCTCCTCCTCCTCGCACACGTACACCATTCGCATTCTACCACCGATACTTCAAATGTGTGTGATCTTAGGATTTGTGAGTGTGTGTATATATATAAGCACACGCAGAGACACGTGTGTTTGTGTGTGTGTGTTGTCTGATTTTGTTACCGATGCACGATTTTTCATTACTTATGTGAAATGATTATGTTTATTGTTATTAAAATAATATGAGATGTTACGGTCCCGTTACGAAACTATTCGGTCGCCGTTTGTAACCGTTCGATCAACTATTCTCGACGGTTAAATGATGGTCTAGCGGTTATAAATCTCGATAAAATAGCTCCGTAATGGGACCGTAGCATTTCCCTAAAATAATATGATCCTTTTGGTAACTGCCTTCATAATTAAGATCCCTTTACAAATAACTAATAATAATAATAATAATTAATAATAATAATTAATAATAATAATAATAATAATAATAATAATAATAATAGTAGTGATTTATTATAGGGATGTTTCCCTGCCAGGTCAATAAAGTGGAAGGTTCGTGGATTTGGTTTTCAATTCTAAAATTTGTAACTTAGTTTTACTTTGACTATTAGTCAATAAATAAAAAACA